ATATCCCAGCTCCTTGTCCTCATATCCCAGCTCCTTGTCCTCATATCCCAGCTCCTTGTCCTCATATCCCAGCTCCTTGTCCTCATATCCCAGCTCCTTGTCCTCATATCCCAGCTCCTTGTCCTCATATCCCAGCTCCTTGTCCTCATATCCCAGCTCCTTGTCCTCATATCCCAGCTCCTTGTCCTCATATCCCAGCTGTCTTGTCCTCATATCCCAGCTCCTTGTCCTCATATCCCAGCTCCTTGTCCTCATATCCCAGCTTCTTGTCCTCATATCCCAGCTCCTTGTCCTCATATCCCAGCTCCTTGTCCTCATATCCCAGCTCCTTGTCCTCATATCCCAGCTCCTTGTCCTCATATCCCAGCTCCTTGTCCTCATATCCCAGCTCCTTGTCCTCATATCCCAGCTCCTTGTCCTCATATCCCAGCTCCTTGTCCTCATATCCCAGCTCCTTGTCCTCATATCCCAGCTCCTTGTCCTCATATCCCAGCTCCTTGTCCTCATATCCCAGCTCCTTGTCCTCATATCCCAGCTCCTTGTCCTGGTGATCAATCTCCCCTCCCCCGTGCCCAGCTCTAGGGTGGTTCGGAATAGCCCTACTCGTTACCGGAGGGCTGATCACCGTGGCACTCTACGCTCTCTTCTTCGAACAAGTCTGCTTCACGTTCCTCAACGCCCATCGTGTCTTCCGGCGTCACATCTACTGGATCTCTTCAGTTTATCCGGTGAGTGGGTGGTCCTCATCTTGCGTCACATCTACTGGATCTCTTCAGTTTATCCGGTGAGTGGGGGGTCCTCATCTTGCGTCACATCTACTGGATCTCTTCAGTTTATCCGGTGAGTGGGTGGTCCTCATCTTGCGTCACATCTACTGAATCTCTTCAGTTTATCCGATGAGTGGGTGGTCCTCATCTTGCATCACATCTACTGAATCTCTTCAGTTTATCCTGCTGTTTTCTGTCTACTTATCTCTGTTGGACACTTCCTTTGTCTGCCACTTTTTCATGATTATTGCCCTTATCTATATGTTATCTACTGCTTGTAACTAGTCACTGTCCCTACACCCCTCCCCATCGTCTCTCCCCCCTACAACACACCCCGAACACCCCCTGCTCACCACCCCATCCCACTACACCCCCTCCACACCTCACCAGACGACTCCCACCATCAATATTTTTCACAACATCTGTGAGATTCTGTCATTTACAATGAAGACATTTCCTTGCAGTTCATGGCGTTGATGAGTGTGATTGCAACCGTTGTTCCCAAGGCCCACAACATCTGTTCTGCTGTGAAGGTCACGTAAGTGTTCACCCCAGGTGCTGTCCCTCAGAGTAACTAACACACCAGGTGCACTGTCACTCAGAGCAACACACCAGGTGCATTGTCCCTCAGAGCAACACACCAGGTGCACTGTCCCCCCAGAGTAACACACCAGGTGCACTGTCCCCCCAGAGTAACACACCAGGTGCACTGTCCCCCAGAGTAACACACCAGGTGCACTGTCCCACAGAGTAACACACCAGGTGCACTGTCCCCCCAGAGTAACACACCAGGTGCATTGTCCCTCAGAGCAACACACCAGGTGCACTGTCCCCTCAGAGCAACACACCAGGTGCACTGTCCCTCAGAGTAACACACCAGGTGCACTGTCCCCCCAGAGTAACACACCAGGTGCACTGTCCCACAGAGTAACACACCAGGTGCACTGTCCCCCAGAGTAACACGCCAGGTGATCTGTCCCTCAGAGTAACACACCAGGTGCACTGTCCCCCCAGAGTAACACACCAGGTGCACTGTCCCCCCAGAGTAACACACCAGGTGCACTGTCCCTCAGAGCAACACACCAGGTGAACTGTCCCTCAGAGTAACACACCAGGTGCACTGTCCCTCAGAGCAACACACCAGCTAGCTAGGTGCACTGTCCCCCAGAGTAACACACCAGGTGCACTGTCCCCCAGAGTAACACACCAGGTGCACTGTCCCCCCAGAGTAACACACCAGGTGCACTGTCCCCCCAGAGTAACACACCAGGTGCACTGTCCCTCAGAGTAACACACCAGGTGCACTGTCCCTCAGAGTAACACACCAGGTGCACTGTCCCTCAGAGTAACACACCAGGTGCACTGTCCCCTCAGAGCAACACACCAGGTGCACTGTCCCTCAGAGTAACACACCAGGTGCACTGTCCCCCCAGAGTAACACACCAGGTGCACTGTCCCTCAGAGTAACACACCAGGTGCACTGTCCCTCAGAGTAACACACCAGGTGCACTGTCCCCCAGAGTAACACACCAGGTGCACTGTCCCACCAGAGTAACACACCAGGTGCACTGTCCCCCCAGAGTAACACACCAGGTGCACTGTCCCTCAGAGTAACACACCAGGTGCACTGTACCTCAGAGTAACACACCAGGTGCACTGTCCCCTCAGAGTAACACACCAGGTGCACTGTCCCCCCAGAGTAACACGCCAGGTGCACTGTCCCTCAGAGCAATACACCAGGTGCACTATTACTCAAAGCAACACACCTGGTGCTCTGTCACTCAGAGCAACACACCAGGTGCACTGTCCCTCACAGCAACACACCAGGTGCTCTGTCCCTCACAGCAACACACCAGGTGCTCTGTCCCTCACAACAACACACCTGGTGCTCTGTCACTCAGAGCAACACACCAGGTGCACTGTCCCTCACAGCAACACACCAGGTGCTCTGTCCCTCACAGCAACACACCAGGTGCACTGTCACTCAGAGTAACACACCAGGTGTACTGTCCCTCAGAGCAACACACCAGGTGCACTGTCCCTCACAGCAACAAAGTGATCATTCCACTATTCACAGTACTTGAAGAGGCAGCCAGAGTGTGTCTATTCTAGTTCTTCTATTCACAAATATTAGGAATAGAACCTAGTTATAATTACCCCTCAGATGGCAGCATGGAGCCCCTACCAACCCCCGTAGCCTAGGCATTAACTTTTCAAAATATGACCTATAGACTTAGTAGAAAGATTGTTATGAACTCCTTCAAAGTTTCGTTAGTGTTTATTACATTTTGCAATAGTGTCTATGGAGATGTGACTCGCAGCTGAGGAAATAGCATTTTACATTTGGATAGTTAGAAGTTGGATTACATCTATTTCCACAACGATGAGGATTTTTGTTTTTAACTATTTTTTTTTTTTTACACAGGTGGGTAGGGTAATTCTTTGGCCTGTTAATAGGGTGAAGGTGTTCCCTTCCCACAGCTCAGGGTAAACCTTAACCTGCTAATTTTCCCTGGAACACGACCCGCCACTCAGTTTACAACCCGGTACTATATTACTGCTGGTTGAACAGAGGGGCGACAGATAAGGTTAGACACCTATTCACTCCTCCCTTGCTAGGACTCTAACCCAAACCGCTCGAGACATCTAATCTTATTGGTTTTACTTATTGCCACAAACACTACGTGAGAGTGGACAACAGAATACGTCCAGCTACAATACCTCTCTTAAAAGCTTCATCAGTATCGGAAAAAGGCGATATTGGTGAAACTTTTAAGCTTTACAAAAAAGTTCCTTTTTTAATACCAAGCTGGCATTAAAAAAAGAAACCTTATTTTAATGTATTTTTTAAATGGTTAATGGTATGCAGACGATGAGTCACAATAACGTAGCTGCAGATATGATGGCCACACAACACACCAGAAGATGTGGTGACAATCGACTTGTAATGGTCCAGGACGGACCGAAACGTCGTCGTCTCCTCATCTTCTGGTGTGTAGTTTGGTCAACGTATTAATTGTACTTAAACAAAAATTACCTTAACTAAAAAATTATTACCAATTTGGCTTTTAAAATATCAAGTCTACTGAAAATAAATATTTCCTAAACTTTATCTAGATTTTTAAATCATAATTATCTTTAAAACAAAGCAATATTCCAAGTCGGCAAATCCGTCGTCATGGCTAAAAGTCCCTACCACCAATCTGGAATATATTTGTCGACTGATACGTATCTATCCCTTCAAGTATCCCGCCCAGAGATACTATCATCTAGCCTTCCCCGGTCCACAGGTACATGGCGATCGGGATCAGTCACTTCGCGGACCTGACGGTACTGATGTTTGGGAGCGAGGAGGTCATGCTGGCCAGGACAGTAGGTAACACACTCAACCTACAGCTCCGACCACTTTGTTGCTGCTGCTGCTGTCTACCGAAGCCCTCGGTCACCAAGTCAGTTCACGTGACCCCGAGTTTCCTTTTTAACGAGTCCTCCCTTGTGTTCTAAATTGCCTTCATTCCATACCATCGTGTCATGTTCATTACCAACTACCATTTTATGAACATGTGGAAAAGTTTAGCTTAACTACATAACCTAACGTTTACCTGTGAAAGGTGAGACGACGTTATAGTTCGTCCTGAAGCCTTATTGTGACATATTTATTTTGTAGTTGTATATATGTAGAATGCTGGCGAGAAATGCAGGTATGGTCAATGAGAGTTAGTTCCTAACCTAAGATGGGTGCAGACACCCGCACTTCCCAGTGATACGGATTGAGAATATTGATTACAGTTTTGGATTCATCTGTCATAGACGCCACTATATGTGTCAAATCGAGTCCAGTTAGCCAATACATGTGTCAAATCAAGTGTAGTTAGCCAACACATGTGTCAAATCAATATCTAGTCTTCTATTGTCACTGTATCAGTCGATTATTTTGGTGTTGTTTGACTGGAAACCTCTAATGATGGTCTGGTATAGAGACTAAATGTTTCTTGATAGACCCTTTATGTTTGTACATTAAGTTAGTCCCCTTGAAAGGGTTGCTATTGTCTTGCCTATATATTGAGATCGTTGCCTCTGACATGACCGCCCCCCCCCCCTTCCAAGTGGGCTTATACGAAGGACATAGTCGACGATTATCATCTATGCCTTGATAGGACTGTTGGGCCAGGCCAGACCTGACCATTGTTCACGTCACCCGCAGGTCATCACTACGCATGGTGATGCTGCTGTTGGAGCAGCTGCCCTTCACTCAGGCCGTCTACCATCTCACTGTACTCATCCTCATCTCTGCTGACATCATCACTCTCGGAAATGTAAGTGTAAAGAGGGAGAGAGAGAGAGAGAGAGAGAGAGAGAGAGAGAGAGAGAGAGAGAGAGAGAGAGAGAGAGAGAGAGAGAGAGAGAGAGAGAGAGAGAGAGAGAGAGAGAGAGAGAGAGAGAGAGAGAGAGAGAGATGAGAGAGAGAGAGAGAGAGAGAGAGGAGAGAGAGAGAGAGAGAGAGAGAGAGAGAGAGAGAGAGATGAGAGAGAGAGAGAGAGAGAGAGAGAGAGAGAGAGAGAGAGAGAGAGAGAGAGAGAGAGAGAGAGAGAGAGAGAGGAGAGAGAGAGAGAGAGAGAGAGAGAGAGAGGAGAGAGAGAGAGAGAGAGAGATGAGAGAGAGAGAGAGAGAGAGAGAGAGAGAGAGAGAGAGAGAGAGAGAGAGAGAGAGAGACAGACTGAGAGAGAGAGAGAGAGAGAGAGAGAGAGAGAGAGAGAGAGAGAGAGAGAGGAGAGAGACGGAGAGGAGAGAGAGAGAGAGAGAGAGAGAGAGAGAGAGAGAGAGAAGAGAGAGGAAGAGAGGAGAGAGAGAGAGAGAGAGAGAGAGAGAGAGAGAGAGAGAGAGAGAGAGAGAGAGAGAGAGAGAGAGAGAGAGAGAGAGAGAGAGAGAGATATCACTACCATGATCTCTACTCACCTTGCCTCACTAACCTCATCACCTCTACTCACCTTGCCTCACTACCTCATCACCTCTATTCACCTTGCTTCACTAACCTCATCACATCTACTCACCTTGCCTCACTAACCTCATCACATCTACTCACCGTGCCTCACTACCTCATCACATCTACTCACCGTGCCTCACTACCTCATCACATCTACTCACCTTGCCTCACTATCCTCATCACCTCTACCTCACCGTGCTCAATATCTACTTAACATGGACTACTGCCCGCCGGCAGGTGGACCCAGGGGGAGTCTACCTGTGGCTGAGTCTCTTCAACCTGGCCTCCTTCATGAGTGGGGTCTACGCCCTCCAGATCCTCACGCAGTTCTCCAAGGGCTACCTCGAGTACTACAAGTATACGGTGAGTCTCCTGGGGCCAGATTCACGAAACAGTTACGCAAGTACTTACGAACCTGGAGACGGATTCACGAAGCAGTTACGCAAGTACTTACGAACGTGTACATCTTTCCTCAATCTTTGACGGCTTTGGTTACATTTATTAAACAGTTTACAAGCATGAAAACTTCCCAATCAACTGTTGTTATTGTTATAAACAGCCTCCTGGTGCTTCGGAGCTCATTAACTGTTTAATAATTGTAAACAAAGCCGTCAAATATTGAGAAAAAAGTTGTACAGGTTCGTAAGCGCTTGCGTAACTGCTTCGTGAATCTGGCCCCAGTTCTCTAAATATTTTCTTATCCTTATCCTCCAACCACTTGGGCTGGACGGTAGAGCGACGGTCTCGCTTCATGCTGGTCAGCGTTCAATCCCCGACCCTCCAAGTGGTTGGGCACCATTCCTTCCCCCCCCCCCCCGCCGTCCCATCCCAAATCCTTATCCTGATCCCTTCCCGATGGTATATAGGCGTAATCGCTTTCTCCTGATAGTTCCCTTCCCCTTCATATCATAAATTATTTCCCTCGCGGTTGCAAGGCTTAACTAGCAGTAATGAAATGCATTTTGGAAAGTGTGAATGAAAATATTTACTGAACAGCCACAAATAAGAAAGGTTTTAGAAGCATCTAACTGCTGGCCAACTAGAACTTTAAACCTTCCTTGGAGTGCCACTTGAGGATGGAGGAATGAGGTGATCCACGCTCCAGTCACATATATTGTTAATTACAATTAACTTGGTAATAGAATTTTATTCACCTGGGTACTAGGAGTCTCGAACCCCCAACCCCCATGACCGGACGAACCACCAGTTCCTCTTGGGGTCGGTGGTTGCAGGCGCTTAGGTGACGGGAACTATCAGGTGCCAAGCCATTACGACTATATAGCACTTGGAAGGGGTCAGGATTAGGATTTGGGATGGGACGGGTTGGGAGAAATGGTGTTCAACCACTTGGACGGTCGGGAATTGAACGCCGACCTGCATGAAGCGAGTCCCGTCGCTCTACCGTCTACCCCAAGTGATTGGCCGGCTCTTAGGTGAATGAAATATAGATGTCTATCAAACGTAACGTAACATAACTTAACCTAATCTAACCTAACCTAACATAACATAACGTAACGTAATGTAACGTAACGTAACCTAACCTAACCTAACATAACGTAACGTAACATAACGTAACGTAACCTAACCTAACCTAACATAACGTAACCTAACCTAACATAACATAACATAACGTAACCTAACCTAACGTAACCTAACCTAACATAACATAACATAACGTAACTTAACCTAACCTAACATAACATAACATAACGTAACCTAACGTAACGTAACGTAACGTAACGTAACCTAACATAACATAACATAACATAACATAACCTAACCTAACCTAACATAACGTAACGTAACCTAACCTAACATAACATAACGTAACGTAACCTAACCTAACATAACATAACATAACGTAACCTAACCTAACCTAACGTAACCTAACCTAACCTAACATAACATAACTTAACGTAACCTAACCTAACGTAACGTAACGTAACGTAACGTAACCTAACATAACATAACATAACATAACATAACCTAACCTAACATAACGTAACGTAACCTAACCTAACATAACGTAACGTAACGTAACCTAACATAACATAACATAACGTAACCTAACCTAACATAACGTAACGTAACCTAACCTAACATAACATAACATAACGTAACCTAACCTAACCTAACGTAACGTAACGTAACCTAACATAACATAACATAACATAACATAACATAACCTAACCTAACCTAACATAACGTAACGTAACCTAACCTAACATAACACATCATAACGTAACCTAACCTAACATAACGTAACGTAACGTAACCTAACCTAACCTAACATAACGTTACCTAACCTAACCAATCCTAGCCTACCTCATTATACAGGCCGTCCTCCTGTTTTCGTAGTTCTTACAGTACCGACGAGGACCATACCGACGAACAACAAAATTAGAAAGTAGAAATCGGCACTATGGAGTTGGACATACCGGAAAACTATTTTTTTACTTGCGTTGCATAGACAGACTAAACTAATCTAGTCTAACTTCCCTAGGCCTAATACAAGATATCTGAGGCCTAATATAGTACATATGTGTGCTATACTAGGTGTATGAATATTTAAATTAGTTTTTTAGCTTAATTTTTTCTTTAAAGACTTCGTTATTAGTCAGTATACTACTATCTAAAAGTTAAGAACGTACGAATTCGTGACTATTGACGATCGTGACAATAGGTATTATCTAAACAGGAGGATGGGCTGATATATGTCTAATCTAACATTATCTGAACAGAACAGATTAGATATTAATTTCAAAATATATAATAAATAAATATTCAATATTATTATAGTTGGAGATTTAAATTTGATTAGAATAAACTGGGATGACCAAAAGACCAATTATCAGGAAAAACAATATATTGGGAGAAACTTCCATTATTGATGCTTTTAAAAATTGAGCAATCAAACTACACAGGAACATAATATTGTTAATTTAATCATTTTTCAACAAAAGCAAATTTAATTGCAAATTTCCAAAGAGGAACAAATAAGTAAATAGGATCATAATAAAATACGGGTTTGTCGTTACATGGTAACATTACTTAAAGAAACATTACTGTTCCGAGTTCCATCCTCAAGTCGTTGGATTCGATAAGATAATTTAGTAGTTAAACTGCAGCAATTACTTCAGAACGTAAATGCATAACTGCACGAGGCCTGCAAGCCCCTGAAGGCCATCTCTTATGGCCAAAATAATTCACTTTCGTGAATTAGCTCCGGCTTGATCTGAAGCCTGTAAATGTGTTCTATTTTATTGTGTTGACTTGAATAATCGGAGTACCGACACACTTCTTGTATCACCAATCAGTGATTGTATATTGTATCACCAATCAGGGATTGTATATTGTATCACCAAGCAGTGATTGTATATTGTATCACCTATCAGTGATTGTATATTGTATCACCAAGCAGTGATTGTATATTGTATCACCAAGCAGTGATTGTATATTGTATCACCAATCAGTGATTGTATATTGTATCACCAATCAGTGATTGTATATTGTATCACCAAGCAGTGATTGTATATTGTATCACCAAGCAGTGATTGTATATTGTATCACCAAGCAGTGATTGTATATTGTATCACCAATCAGTGATTGTATATTGTATCACCAATCAGTGATTGTATATTGTATCACCAATCAGTGATTGTATATTGTATCACCATGCAGTGATTGTATACTGTATCACCAATCAGTGATTGTATATTGTATCACCAAGCAGTGATTGTATATTGTATCACCAAGCAGTGATTGTATATTGTATCACCAATCAGTGATTGTATATTGTATCACCAATCAGTGATTGTATATTGTATCACCAATCAGTGATTGTATATTGTATCACCAAGCATTGATTGTATATTGTATCACCAAGCATTGATTGTATATTGTATCACCAAGCATTGATTGTATATTGTATCACCAAGCAGTGATTGTATATTGTATCACCAATCAGTGATTGTATATTGTATCACCAATCAGTGATTGTATATTGTATCACCAGGCCAAGTCGTTAGCGATGAAGACGCTGGTGATGGCCACTAACCTCCAAGGTCTGGCCTTCGACATTATGGCCAACTATGGGGCCTTTCCCTGCATCCCCCCTTTCCTCCCCCCTCAAGTCTACAAGCAGAGTAAGTCTTTTGTGTTGGCCTCTACAAGTCTTCAGGCAGGGGTAAGTCTTTTGTGTTGGCCTCTACAAGTCTTCAGGCAGGGGTAAGTCTTTTGTGTTGGTCTCTACAAGTCTTCAGGCAGGGGTAAGTCTTTTGTGTTGGCCTCTACAAGTCTTCAGGCAGGGGTAAGTCTTTTGTGTTGGCCTCTACAAGTCTTCAGGCAGGGGTAAGTCTTTTGTGTTGGCCTCTACAAGTCTTCAGGCAGGGGTAAGTCTTTTGTCTTTCCCTCTAGAAGTCTACAGGAAGGGTAAGTCTCTTGTCTTTCCCTCTACAAGTCTACAGGCTGGGTAAGTCTATTCTTACCCTGCCTGTATGGGTAATTTTGGATCATCTTACAGGCGCTTCAGAAGTCTATGGTCTGTCTCTCAAGATTTTGCCTGGAAGCTCGAGTGGGGAAAAATGTGTTGTGTTGGTTCGTTTGTGTTGTGAGTGGTCCTGGCTTAGGGATTACTCTGACATTATGAAGTATGTGTTGGTGCTGAAGGTAATATTCCCCGCGTACTCCCACACTACAACACAATCGTCGTCCCACTCACTTCACACCTCTAATATACGGTTATTCTCGTTCATGTTCCTTTCCATATAACCTTGCACTTGTCTGAGTTTAAGTCAAGTAGCCATTTACCACATCTTCTTATTATGTCTAGTATATTTTGCTGCATATCACATTTCCAGATCGTTTTAAAGAGCCAGATTCCTCTGTCAGGTCGTATATATTGGGAACAGGATAGACGCTAGCTCAGACCCTTGTGGTACTCCACTCGGTGCTTCTTTACTCTGATATACCTGCCACTCTCCGTGACTCTTTGTTCTATTCATGATAGATACTCCCTCGACCAACTTAGAACAGTCTCAGATTCAACAGCCAGCTTCTCTAGGTTGAATCTAGTGTGTACTCACCTATTTGTGCTTGCAGGATCGAGCATTGGCTCTTGGATCCCGCCTTTCCAGCCATCGGTTGTTTACAACAATGACTCCGGTCCCATTTTCCATGTCCCGCGTGTGTGTGTGTGTGTGTGTGTGTGTGTGTGTGTGTGTGTGTGTGTGTGTGTGTGTGTGTGTGTGTGTGTGTGTGTGTGTGTGTGTGTGTGTGTGTGTGTGTGTGTGTGTGTGTGTGTGTGTGTGTGTGTGTGTGTGTGTGTGTGTGTGTGTGTGTGTGTGTGTGTGTGTGTGTGTGTGTGTGTACTTACCTAGTTATACTTGGGGGGGTTGAGCGCTGGCTCTTTGGTCCCGCCTCTCAACTGTCTATCAACTAATATACAGGTTCCTAAGCCTATTGGGCTCTATCATATCTACGCTTGAAACTGTGTATGAAGTCAGCCTCCACCACATCACTTCCTAATGCATTCCATTTGCCTACTACTCTGAAAAAAATTCTTTCTAACGTCTCTGTGGTTCATTTCGGCACTCAGTTTCCACCTGTGTCCCCTAGTGCGTGTTCCCCTTGTGTTAAATAGTCTGTTTTTTCCTACCCTATCAATTCCTCTGAGAATCTTGTATGTGGTGATCATGTCCTTTCTAACTCTTCTGTCTCCCAGTGACGTGAGGTTTAACTTCCGGAATCTCTCCTCGTAGCTCATACCCCTCAGTTCGGGTACTAGTCTAAACGCAAACCTTTGAATCTTTTCCAGTTTAGTCTTATGCTTGACTTGATATGGACTCCATGCTAGAGCCGCATACTCCAGGATTGGTCTGACATATGTGGTATACAAAGTTCTGAAAGATTCCTTACACAAGTCTCTAAAGGCCGTTCTTATGTTAGCCAACCTGGCATATGCTGCTGATGTTATCCTCTTGATATGGGCTTCAGGGGACAGGCCTGGCATGATATCAACCCCCAGGTCTTTCTCTCTCTCTGACTCTTGAAGAATTTCATCTCCCAAATGATATCTTGTATCTGGTCTCCTACTCCCTACACCTATCTTCATTACATTGCATTTGCTTAAACTCTAACAACCATTTGTTCGACCATTCCTGCAGCTTGTCCAGGTCTTCTTGAAGCCTCAAGCTGTCCTCCTCTGTCTTAATAATTCTTCTCATAATTTTGGCGTCGTCAGCAAACATTGAGAGGAGTGAGTCTATACCTTCTGGGAGATCATTTACGTGTATCAGAAACAGGATAGGTCCGAGTACAGAGCCCTGTGGGACTCCACTGGTGACTTCACGCCAATCTGAGGTCTCACCCCTCACTGTAACTCTCTTCTTCCTATTCCTTTGGTACTCCCTTATCCACTGGAGCACCTTACCAGCTACACCTGCCTGTTTCTCCAGCTTATGCATCAGCCTCTTACGGGGTACTGTGTAAAAGGCTTTCCGACAGTCCAAGAAAATGCAATCCGCCAGCCTTATCTTTCTTGCTTAATCTTTGTTAGCTGATCGTAGAATTCTATTAAGCCTGTAAGGCAAGATTTACCCTCCCTGAACCCATGTTGCAGGGTTGTCACGAAGTCCCTTCTCTCCAGATGTGTTACTAGGTTTTTTCTCACGATCTTCTCCATCACCTTGCATGGTATACAAGTTAAGGACACTGGCCTGTAGTTCAGTGCCTCTTGTCTGTCACCCTTTTCGTATATTGGGACCACATTAGCCGTCTTCCATATTTCTGGTAGGTCTCCCGTTTCCAGTGACCTACTGTACATTATGGAGAGTGGCAAGCAAAGTGCTCCTGCACAGTCTTTCAATACCCATGGTAAGATTCCGTCCGGGCCAACAGCCTTTCTCACGTCCAGATCCAACAGATGCCTCTTGACCTCATCACTAGTAATTTCGAACCCTTCCAAGGCCGCCTGGTTTACTGCCACCTCTCCTATCTCTTAAACATTATATTGTAGACTGTCCCATATTGACTGACTCTCGCTCTCCTGGGCTAAGGTATGCTGAACTGTGTAATTACTATATGAGTACTGGAACACTTGATGATATATTAGACTTGTACCCAAGATTAACCATGTAATGTATCAATTATACAATGTATGTATGTGATGCAACTATATAACCTGAGCTTGTAAAACCAACTTCATCACCTTCAGTGATTAAGTGCTTAATTGCGCACTAGTTTCTCTATCAGCTATCTCACCCTGTCAGAGTAAAAGAGACAAATGTATGTGAATGCATGTGTGTGTATATATGTATATGTACGTATATGTGTGCGTGTGTATGTATATGTAAGTGTATAAAGTATATATGGAAGCTGATCAGAAATACATCTCACCTTTGTAAATGCACATTAATGACACTATGTAAAAGACACATCGAACACTTTATGTAGGGCATACGTAAATCTATGTATCTATGTATTTACGTATGTAGGTTAGCTTAGCATTTTAAAAGCACCGAATCACATTCTGTGGTTGATTGTTCAATAAACCCTTGAACTATATGTTTAACACATCTCTAACCCTGTCCATGGAGGACAGAAGAAAATGCATATATGCTGGTTAGCATTGTAAATGTGTGGTCACGTCTGTGGTAGAAAATAATAATAAAAAAAAACTCTCCTAGCGCAGCTAGTGACCTCTCCTTGTTCTATTGTGAAGACCTCCTTGAACTCTTTGTTGAGTTCCTCACACACCTCTTTGTCTTTCTCTGTGTACCTGTCCTTGCCCGTTCTAAGTTTCATCGCCTGTTCCGTCACTGTTGTTTTCCTCCTGATGTGACTGTGTAGTAACTTTGGTTCGGTCTTGGCTTTATTAGCTATATAATTTTCATACTTTTTCTCAGCTTCTCTTCTCACACTAGTATACTCGTTCCTGGTTCTCTGGTATCTCTCTCTACTGTCTGGTGTTCTGTTATTTCAGGGGTTCCTCCACACCCTTTTGTTCAGTTCCTTTGCTTTCATAAATGCCCTATTAAACCACGGATTCTTCTTTTGCTTCTCGGTGTTTTCCTTTCGGGCCGGGATAAACCCATTTACAGCCTCCTGACACTTTTGTGTGACATAGTCTATCATGTTTTGTACGGACTTAGTTGTGAGTTCTGTGTCCCATGGTATATCCCCTAGGAATTTTCCCATCTCCTCATAGTTTCCCTTTCAATACGCCAGCCCTCTGTTTCCCAGTTCTTTTTTGGCGGAGATAATTCCTAGCTCTACCAGGTACTCAAAGATCTATACACAGTGATCACTCATTCCCAAGGGGGCTTCCAACTTAACTTCCCTTATATCCGACTCATTTAAGGTAAATAACAGATCAAGCATGGCGCGTTCATCCTCTCCTTTCATTCTTGTCGGTCCCTTGATGTGTTGGCTTAGAAAGTGTCTTGTTGCTACGTCCAGCAACTTAGCTCTCCATGTGTCTGGTCCTCCATTTGGGTCTCTGTTCTCCCAATCTATCTTCCTGTGGTTGAAGTCTCCCATGATTGGAAGTCTGGATCCGTTCCTGCTAGCCACAGAAGCTGCTCTCTCTATTATATTGATGGTGGTCATGTTGTTTCTATCATAATCCTGCCTGGGTCTTCTGTCACTTGCGTAGGGGTTATATATGACTACTACTATAATTTCTTGTCCTCCAATTGCTATGGTTCTTGTTATGTAGTCACTGAAATCTTCACAGCCCTGAAAAACCATCTCTTCAAAACTCCAGCCTTTTCTTATGAGCAAAGCTACACCACCTCCTCCTCTTCCTTCTCTCTTTCTCACTACATAGTAGTCCTGTGGAAACACTGCATTTGTTATGGTTTTCGTTAGCTTTGTTTCTGTGAGTGCTATTATCTCTGGGTTTTCTTCTAGTGCCCATTCTTCAAGTTCACTTGTTTTATTCGTAATCCCATCTATGTTAATGTACATTGCCTTCAAGCTCACTTTCTTCTGTTCATTCTCTTGTCCCCTTCTTGGTGAGCGTTTTGCTGACGGAGGGAAGCTGTTCAGTAAAGATCTGTGAGGTTGTTAACAGTGTGTGTGTGTGTGTGTGTGTGTGTGTGTGTGTGTGTGTGTGTGTGTGTGTGTGTGTGTGTGTGTGTGTGTGTGTGTGTGTGTGTGTGTGTGTGTGTGTGTGTGTGTGTGTGTGTGTGTGTGTGTGTGTGTGTGTGTGTGTGTGTGTGTGTGTGTGTGTGTGTGTGTGTGTGTGTGTGTGCTTACCTAATTGTACTTACCTAATTGTGCTTGCGGGGATTGAGCTTTGGCTCTTTGGTCCCGCCTCTCAACTGTCAATCAACTGGTGTACAGATTCCTGAGCCTATTGGGATCTGTCATATCTACATTTGAAACTGTGTATGGAGTCAGCCTCCACCACATCACTGCCTAAAGCATTCCATTTATTAACTACTCTGACACTGAAAAATTCTTTCTAACGTCTCTGTGGCTCATCTGGGTACTAAGTTTCCACCTGTGTCCCCTTGTTCGTGTCCCACCCGTGCTGAAGAGTTTGTCTTTGTCCACCCTGTCAATTCCCCTGAGTATTTTGTAAGTGGTTATCATGTCTCCCCTTACTCTTCTGTTTTCCAGGGATGTGAGGTTAAGCTCCATTAGCCTTTCCTCTCAGTTCCGGGACGAGCCTGGTGGCATACCGCTGAATCTTCTCTAGCTTTATCTTGTGTTTAACTATGTATGGACTCCAGGCTGGAGCTGCATACTCCAGGATTGGTCTTACATAAGTGGTATACAGGGTTCTGAAAGATTTCTTACACAAGTTTCTAAAGGCAGTTCTTATGTTGGCCAGTCTAGCATATGCCGCTGATGATATTCTTTTGATGTGGGCCTCTGGGGACAGGTTCGGTGTGATATCAACCCCCAAATCTTTCTCTCTATTTGACTCTTGCACGATTTCACCTCCCAGATGATACCTTGTGTTCAGCCTCCTGCTCGCTTCGCCTAATTTCATCACCTTACACTTTCCTGAGTTAAACTTTAGCAGCCATTTTCTAGACCATTCCTCCAGTTTATCCAGGTCATCCTTTAGTCTCTGTCTATCTTCATCCGTCTTGATTCTTCTCATAATTTTTGCATCATCAGCAAACATTGAGAGGAATGAGTCTATACCCTCCGGAAGATAGTTCACATATATTAGAAACAGGATGGGTCCAAGTACTGAACCCTGTGAGACTCCGCTGGTGACATCTCGCCACTCTGATGTCTCCCCCCTCACTGTTACTCGGTGTTTCCTGTTGCTTAAGTACTTCTTTATCCTCTGGAGCACCTCCCCTTTTACTCCTGCCTGTTGCTCCAACTTTTGTAACAGCCTTTTATTGGGTACTGTGGCAAAGGCTATACAGTCGGCAGGGCCGGCAGTCCAGGAAAATGCAGTTGGCACCCTTCTCTTTCCTGCCTAATTTTTGTTGCCTGGTCATAAAATTTAATTAAACCTGTGAGGCACGATTTACCATCCCTGAACCCATGTTGGTGGTGCGTTACAAAGTTATTTCCCTCCAGATGCTCTACGAGCCTTTTCCTCACGATCTTCTCCATCACCTTGCATGGTATACAAGTTAAGGAAACTGGCCTGTAGTTCAGTGCCTCTTGCCTGTCACCCTTCTTGTATATTGGGACCACGTTAGTTGTCTTCCAACTTTCTGGTAAGTCTCCTATTTCCAGTGACCTGTTATACACCATAGAGAGTGGCACACTCAGTGCTTCTGCACCTTCCTTTAGTATCCATGGTGAGATTCTGTCAGGCCCAACAGCCTTTGTCACATCCAGCTCCAGCAGACACCTTTTGACCTCATCACTGGTTAGGTCAAATTCCTCCAAGGTTGCTTGGTTTGCCGCCTCCTCACATAGTACAGGGGCTTCTCCTTGTTCTATTGTGAAGACCTGTGTATGTGTGTGTGTGTGTGTGTGTGTGTGTGTGTGTGTGTGTGTGTGTGTGTGTGTGTGTGTGTGTGTGTGTGTGTGTGTGTGTGTGTGTGTGTGTGTGTGTGTGTGAGTGTGAGAGTGTTCGTGAGTGTGTGGGTGCGTGAGTGTGTGAGTGCGTGCGTGTGTTTTCACAGGTAAATATGTACAACTAATAGCTTTAATTACTCTACCTCTCACCTGCAGCTGTTGAGAACAGCATCTACCTGGTGGAGGTGCTGGTGCTGGGGTCCTACACATACTGGCACTACCACAACCGCAGGTTCCTCAAGTTTAACCCATCCGAGCTTCACCACACATCAGTGTACCAGCCTCGAACGAGCGTGGACGCGAGCAGCGGCAGCTGCAACAGGCAGAGGAACGCCAGCAGCAGCACCCGGAGTACGGTGCTGGAGTACAGCCTCAGCAGCATCTCCAGCAGCAGGACGGCAAGCCAAACCAGTATTACCAGCACCAATTTCGGCGTGGATAACAACCCAACTACTCGCCCGGTTAGGACCGCCAGTCGTGTCGGTGATGAATCAGACGGCATCATCACCACCACCTCAACAATACTCTCTTCAGGACCAGTCATTGAGATGTATTCATCTGATGATAGACACTCAACGGGTATAGGCCCACGGCAGGAGAGGCTGGCAGCGTTTGAACATGCGCCGGATGGCCTTGTTCAAGGGCTAAATGGTGAACACGAGATAACATCACGCCTCACCGTTCACAAACCACCAAGTGAACAGGACACAGAGGCTACAAGCCATGGAGAACACTCCGTCAGTATATCACAGCAATCTGCATCAGTCACTAGCGGGGATATGTCACATACCAGAACATACCCGGTGGCCAGCTCGCAGAGCCGTCCCCTGCGACGGTATTCTTGCTAGTTCCTCCGCTCGTGACAAACTGGTCCAGATTATTTATGCGTCACAGCGCTTAACAGTCTGCTTGACCAGAGACCGGGCCGCGGAGGTAATGATCACCAGAACCACATCAAGATGGACAGAATTTACATGTAATTATCAAATTAATTTGTTAATATTTCAACGTCTAAGGCAATCGCATGTTTGACGTCAGTTCTGCCTCTAGAAAATAGAAAATATACACAATATATAACAATATACAAATATACAAGGTGGTTTGCGCTGTGTTTACTAAGAGTGTGGTATAAGGTAAAATTTTTAACATTTTCGTTAAACCTTTCAAACCCTTTTATACGATAATATTGGAGTCGTTCATATAGTGAGGTTAAGGCTCCCCATTAATTGGAAAGGTAACCGTATGGATAGAGCCATATCATTGGCCACGGGGCCTTGACAAGTCAGAGGTTTCCTGTTATTGAATGGTGTGTAGTCTTATAAAATATATATATAATCAGCGAATTATTCTTTAAATCAGTCCATCCTCACTTGGGCATCAAAGAAAACGTTATTCTTCCAGATATATCAGCCTAGACTAAAATGTTATAATAATAATAATAATAATAATAATAATTTTTATTTAGGTAAAGGTACATACATAAAGAGATTTTACAATGTTTGTTGGCTTTATAGATAGAGCTAGTACATACAATGCCTAAAGCCACTATTACGCAAAGCGTTTCGGGCAGCAGTTCACCTGCTATTGTTAATGCAGGTGATTGTTGCATTCCCACCGCCGCCCACAGGGTAAGTGACAAACAAAGCACATATATGCAACTAAATGACCACTAACATAAATTGCTTGGCTAATAATTTGCTTTTGTTGATAACTGCTTTGCAATGATAATTAAGGTTCAGTACCTGAGCCTAAATACACTAAAGTAACTTAAACTCCTACTCGTTGTGTTAGGGCCTCTTGGGATCACTGTGGTGTTTGTTTGATGAATAGATTATTAGTGAACATATTGCAAGCGATGAGTCACAATAACGTGGCTAAAGTAAGTTGACCAGACCACACACTAGAAGGTGAAGGGACGACGACGTTTCGGTCCGTCTTGGACCATTCTCAAGTCGATCGACTTGAGAATGGTCCAGGACGGACCGAAACGTCGTCGTCCCTTCACCTTCTTGTGTGTGGTCTGGTCAACTTACTTTAGTGAACATATTGCTGTGATTAGTTATGGTTAGGTGAGTCTTCCCTGCAAATCTGTGTACATGGGCGTTTTTTATGGTGGATATAGTCGAGGGTCTCGGTAGTGCAGTGGGGTTCGTTCTCGACGCACACCAACCCGTCGGCTAGGAGTCCATCCTTGTCAATAACGGCCAACAGCTCGTTTATCAGCCCCATAAACCACCGGTTTATAAGAATGAAAAACGGTTTACACACGACTCGCAACTGATGACTGCCGAACATTTCTTGAAGAGTGCTTCGCTGGCGACCTCTCTTCGAACCACAACGCTGTAAATGCTTCACCCACGCACTACAAATACAAATAATCACCAACAGAACCTAAACACCTAACCTAACCTAACCTAACCTAACCTAACCTAACCTAACCTAACCTAACCTAACCCAACCTATTCCAATCTATTTAGAGAACTTTTTTATATTATATACTCAATCATCAAGCCCACCCGAGTCACTCAAACATCTGCCACTACCCTGCATCACTTATGGACTAATATAACAGCTCCCCTTACATCTGGGGTAATCTATGACAGAACAACTGACCACTATCCTACCTTCCTCATAGTAAACATGGATACAATACCTCCAGAAAGCAAGAAACTCTCATTCAGGCTACACAGTGAATCAGCTTTAGGCAATCTCTCTAATGCACTTCACAATATTAACTGGGAATCTGTATTCAATAATACACAGGATATAAACTCATTAACTACCCTCTTTCTCTCCAAAACTCTAAGTCTCTACAACACTCACTGTCCCCTCCTTACCAAACAAGTATCTGAAAAAAGAAAAAACAATCCGTGGCTCACAAGTGGCATAATCAAATCAATCAACAATAAACATGAATATAAAAAGAAATTTAGGATTGGCCTAGTTACAAAGGAAGTAGCTAAAAGGTACTCATCAATGCTTACCAGTATCATAAGAAAAGCTAAACTTTCATATTATGAGACTAGATTCAAAGAAGCAAAAGGCAACACGAAAAGCACGTGGAATACCATCTCTAATATCCTAGGAACTAAACAACACTCCGAAAACCAGATAACACTCTTTAAGGATGGCTATACACCGTCAACTGATTTAGAAATGGCAAATGAATTTAATAGCTTCTTTTCATCGGTTGGTGCTAACCTCGCCAGTAAAATCCCACAGACTCAGACACATATCAACACATATCTCTCAGGCAGCTATCCAAACTCTCTTCTCCTTTCACCAGTCAGCCCGACAGATGTTGTGTCCATCATACAATCACTAAAAACCAAAGCTGGGAACATCAGTGAAATACCATCCATTGTATACAAGAGCGCCTCCCACGCCCTTGCGTCACCTATAGCTCTGCTGTTCAACAAATCCCTTGAGTGTCATACCTTCCCTGATATTCTTAAAAAAGCAAGAGTAACGCCAGTTCATAAAGGAGGTAATCCGGCAGACATAAACAACTATAGACCAATATCAAACCTACCCATACTATCAAAAATATTTGAAAAAATTATCTACAAACAGCTCTACTCCTATCTCGTAAAATTCGACATGCTTAGCCCTTGTCAGTTTGGCTTCCGCACCCAAAAGAGTACCGACGATGCAATCATTAGTCTCCTTGATATAATTTACTCAGCCCTTGACAAAAATGAGTTTCCGATTGGACTCTTCATTGATCTGAGAAAGGCCTTTGATACTGTTAATCACAATTACCACTTACGTAAACTCCATCATTATAGAATCCGAGGCCATGCACTGGATTATATCCAATCCTATCTTAGTGATAGACACCAATGTGTAACCATCACTATTATAACCTCTCCCACTTTACCAATAACCGTTGGAGTGCCACAGGGCAACATCTTGGGACCTCTCCTATTTCTTATATACATCAATGATCTGCCTAATGTCTCTAACATTCTGAAACCTATTTTGTTTCCTGATGATACTACCCTCATCTACTCTAACCCCAACCCACATACACTAAATGATGTTGTTAATAATGAACTAAAAAAAGTCCACTTATGGATGTCAACCAACAAACTAACACTTAACATAGAAAAGACCTGCTACATCTTATTTGGAAGCAAATCTATAAATGCAATTCAGCTTCAGATAATGTAAACATTAGCAATAAAAATGATGGAAAGTTTCTTGACCTATTCCTAGACAAGAGACTCAACTTCAGCACCCACATACAACACATAACTAAGAAAGTCTCTAAAACAGTTGGGATACTCTCCAAAATTAGATATTATGTACCTAACTCTGCTCTCATCTCTCTATATTATGCACTAATCTATCCTTATCTTAATTATGGTATCTGTGCATGGCGGTCAACCACTGCAAACCACCTCAAGCCCATCATCACCCAGCAAAAATCTGCCATCAGAATAATAACAAATTCTGCTTTCAGCCAGCACTCAGCCCCCTTGTTTAACTCCCTAAACATGCTAAACATAATCTCACTCCACACATTCTCTTGTGCCAACTACATTTACAAAACCCTGTTCTTAAATGCAAATCCTGCTCTGAAACTCTCCCTGGACAAATGTAATAGGACCCATTATCACCACACCAGAAATAAATATTCTTTGATATCCCCAGAGTCAAACTTAATCTGTGCAAATACTCTATGCAAATAAAGGGACCTATCGATCGACTTGAGAATGGTCCAGGACGGACCGAAACGTCGTCGTCCCTTCACCTTCTAGTGTGTGGTCTGGTCAACATACTTTAGCCACGTTATTGTGACTCATCGCCTGCAAAGGGACCTAGTCTATGCAACTCACTCCCTAATGAATTGAAAAGCTGTGCAACTTTTGCATTATTCAAAAACAAAACTAAAAAGTACCTAATTCCATCTTCATAGTTTTCTACCTTGTTGCTTTAAAATTGCACTGTATCTAGTACTACCCAATCTCCCAATCTTCATGTACCCAATCCAAACAACTTTACCATTGTGATCATTGATGTCTTGTTATATGTGCTTTCAATTTGTTGTATGGTGCCTATTAATCTTCGTTTAAATTACTTATCAAGCTGTCAATGCAATCAGAGCTTTAATATACCAATGTGCTTTAATATACCTACTAATCTCTTTCATCTCATTTTTTTCGTCCTTGCAATGTATCTGTTATCATTGTATTAATTCCGCTAGAATTTATCTACTTAAAATTATCTGTTAGATTAAGGACCTGCCCGAAACGCTGCGCGTACTAGTGGCTTTACAAGATTGTAAATACCATGCTATGTATACCCACAAACCCAATGTACCTTCATGTATATAAATAAATAAATAAATAAACAAATAGATAGAGCCACAAGAGATTCTACAGGAAAGAGATGGTTGGGTTGACGGTGTGTGTCCAGACGTGAAAATAAGGCATTTGAATGAGACCAACACAAAAGGTTGTTCTATACAATTGAACATGCTAGAGGGGTGACAGGCAGACTGCTAACATGACAATCAAAGACAATGTATCTGACTGAAGGAGCGTTACTAGAGAAGTACCACAGGGTTCCGTTCTTGCACCAGTAATATTTATCTTGTGTATAAACGATCTACCAGAAGGAATAGAGAGGAGCATGTTTGCAGATGATGCTAAGCTACGAGGGAAGATAACAAGCTTAGACGATGACATGACCCTCAAGATGACCTGAACAAACTAAGTGCATGGAACAACACTTGGCAAATATAATTCAATCTAAATAAATGTCATGTTATCGAGTGTGGAATAGGAGAAAATAGGCCACACACACACACACACACACACACACACACACACACACACACACACACACACACACACACAGCGAACAAATTTTGTGGAAAGGCATTAAAGAGCTCTGGCATAGAAAATCTAGGAGCGGCTCTGGATAATAAATTATCACCAGAAGACCACATAAAGAAAATGGTTTCAGGAGCATATGCTACACTCTCCAACTTCAGAATAGCTTTTCAATACATGGATGGTGAAATATGTTATTGTTCACGACTTTTATGAGACCCAAATTGGACTAAATTTGGAATAAATTCAGACTAAAAAACAAAGATGCCGAAAAATAGATTAGAACGTTTTCTTTTGCAAAACAAAGTAGTATCCTTTGGAACAAGTTAAGTGAGAAGGTGGCGGAGGCCAAAACCGTCAGTAGTTTCAAATCGTTATACGACCAAGAGTACTGGGAAGACGGGACATCACCAGCGTAGCTCTCATCCTGTAACTACACTTAGGTAATTACACACACACACACACACACATACAGATACACACACACACACACACACACACAC